TTCAGGATGATAAATAAACTTTACAGCTTCATGATCAGTAACAATAGTAAATTTCTTTACGAATAAATATTTATGAAGTCTTTTAACAGCCCAAACTACAGCTAATGCTTCTCACTGAGTCTGTGAATAACCTTGTTCAGTAACAGTACGTTTGCGTGAAACACAAATAACTGGTCTAACTTCCTGTTCCAAAACTGTACCAATTCCCACAGGTGATGCATCAGTAATAAGCACAAAATGTGCATTAGGGAAGTACGTTCGAAGAACAGCATCACTTTGAAGAAACTTTAGTGGACTTCGTAAGCATGACTCTTGTTCCTCACTCCATTTGAATGAATTGGATGTCAAAATATTAAATAAACAATTTGCACGACCAAAAAAAAGAAATGAAGTCCTTGGCAAGGCTCACATGTTGGTGGCCAGAGATAAATGCAGATATATGTCGTACGGCAAACAATTGTGAAAAATGTCATAAGTTGAAAAATCAGCATTTGAAGTGGACTCCATGGCCAGTATCTTCTGAGGCCTGGCAGAGAATTCATGCTGACTATTGTAATCCGTTTCTTGGTAAATACTATGCACCAGTAGTTATTGATTCTTTTTCAAAGTGGCCTGAAGTTTTTTTACAACTTCACCAAATTCTGATTTCACAATCCAAGCATTAAGAAAAGTGTTTAGTCGAGAAGGGTTTCCTATGGTGTTAGTGACTGATAATGGCTCTCACTTTGCTGCAGATGCAGTCACTATCTGGTTGAACGGTGTAGGATGCAACATCTGTTTACTGCTCCCAGACGTCCGTGTTCTAATGGTCAGGCAGAGAATTTTGTTAGGACATTAAAGACTGCTATTGATTCTATAGCCCCCTCAACATTTAATGAGCTGGAGAGGGGAGTAGATACCTTTCTATTGCAATATAGCAATGCCAAACATTCGGTGACGAGGGAAACTCCAGCGAGGCTATTGAAAGGAAGAATTCTTCGGTCGAATATGAGATGTTTGGAGTCTGCAGAAGTTAAATACTATCAGGGAAATGGTCTTCGACCATCTACGGATATTGTTCTGAAGGATCTCAAAAAATCGATGGTGCGAATTCTAGACATCGATGACTTAAGTACACACAGTCGACATGTTGATCAAATACAATTTCAGGAACCAGGTGAGTCTGTTCTAATTTCGGTTGTTAATTCTAATGCTAATGAGCACATTCTAGATAATACAGAATCCTTATCCAATACAACGTTAGACAGACTGAGGATGAATTTGAGAAGACGTATGATTGATTACAAACACCTAGACTCCAATTTAAGCTGTGGCGGATTCGGTGTTTGAACGAACTAATGATACTTTTGTACTTGTTGACTGCACGATTTCGAATTCTAAATACAATACATTCGCTTGTGCTTGTGTCTTACTTCTTAATTCAATTGCGTTATTTCTGGGATTCTTATTTCGTACTATAATTCAAATAATTCAAAACATTATATCAAGTTAGATGAGAACGGTGTGATGAACCAGCTAACCTTGAAGTAACACTTCATGGTCAGTAACATATGTGGATTACACTTTCTCCGTATCAAGGTACTATGTCTGCTTCGAAGACCGTATGACACAGGGGACGTAGGTACAATGGGGAAGTTGCGACGACCGTTGTATGGACCAGTCCATGGCGTGCGATTAACTGATGCGCATTGGTTGTCCTTGAACTTAACAAGGATCGGTGATCTGTTCGATATTCTGTGACCTGATTTTGCTAAGGTCCAAAAACATTCTACTGGCCTTACACGTCTATCCTGTAGTATTGAGTCTCTTTCATTGGGATATTTAAATACTACTTTTAAAAGCCTTGTTCGATTCTATTTCAATTCTATTTGGCTACCTAGTCTATAAACTTGTGGCGGTTAATAAATCCCCAAAATCACAAGCTCTGTAAGTCTTCGACATTTGATGCTGACTTAATTAATTTTACTAAATCCACCTAGCTGAAGGTACTCGGTCACGCATCCACACCAAATCTCGAGTGAGCATGTCGTGCTACATATCTCCTACAACTGCTAACCAGTTTAGATTAATCACTTCCCGATATATTGGTAACCTATCAAGTATATCTTCAAACTCCTTCATTTCTGACTTTTGATATGATGGGTTGGCACTCTTCAATTGTAAAGGTGTTACCGACTAAGGCATTATTAAACCCCGAATACTTGTAGCATCTTTCATTGGAGTAGTAATCGCAGTCGTGTTACACACATTGTAGAGTCTCGGGTGATTGTCACTGACTCGGGTAGTCAGTATTTTGTTTTTCCTGCTAGAAACAGACCTAGCCTTGCGATTAGGCAATCTAAGCGTCTCGTGCACACTGCCACCTGAAGGGCTGGGGACAGAAGAAACTTCCTTTTGTGAGCTATCGTTTTTAACAGACCTCTTTATTGGCCATCCTTCCTCCGTTGGCCCATGTAAGTCAATGTACTTTGACCTTTTCTGAAGTAGCCTCACGTCAATTTGTGTACACACTGGGCGAGCACAGTTTGGTGTGTCTCGACTACGCCTGCTAATACTCCTTTTGGCAGCATTCACCATTATAATGGCTTCGAATAACAAACAGTTTGTGCTTGAGCACCATTGCTGATACAACCACATGCAACTATTTTTGCCGAACCGTTCGAAATCCACAGGCGTTAGACTCGTGCAAACTTCGCGATACCATCACTTGCGCCCAGAGACAAAAGATACCGATGACAACAAGACTGTTAATTGTCAGAACAAAGAGCTCAAGCAAATACAAGAAGGACCAATGTACTGAGAAGTACATATGACAAAAGATTCTCTTGGCGATTACTTTAACTGAAATAAATTAAATCAAAGCAAAAACGGTAGTCTTGATGCGTAATAAATGACCAAAACAATAAAATTAACTCAGAGAGGAAAAACACCGCTCTCCTTTTAACATAGCGCGCTATCAACATTTTGTTTTGATTATCACGGTTGTCCTGTTCTTGCGCTCGTGTCGCCTTTGTTGCTGTCAATTGCGTTTGTTTTGGGATGTAAGTGCGTCCTGTGTGCTTGCTGAGTCTTCGGGTCACTTTTCTCCTACTCTTATCCTTATAATCTTACTATTGTTAGCACCCCTAGTATACAAGGTACCTTCAAGGTAGACACAAACCTACCTAAGGCTGGACGTTACAGGTTATAAGCGTAGGAGTGACGATACACTCGAATTGTGGTGGTATAGTTAGTGTGTATGAGTGTCTGGTATGTGAAACTAGTTCTATTTATCTTGTAAAAGTTCCAATAATTTTCTCCAAATTTGGTAAACGTATACCATACTTATCAGCTAATTAAGAAGTAGTGTTTAGTAAAAAACTAGTTAGAATTTTTCAGTAAATATCGTCACTATTATTTTATTTGTGTGTGAGCTGTGATACTGCCCGGGTGCCCAGACAGAAGCAGGTGGTTTTCGTAGGGGGCCACACCCCGAGCCTTTGACCTAAATGTCTGACCCACAAGGCAGTGGGGCATCATGAGAAGATGCAATCCCATGATAGCCGGAGACCAACGATTGATTCATACGCCACTTTTTTCCCTCAAGATACTGGAGCCCATGTTCACCATTGGTTTGGGATCCGGTTAAAGCACCGGACATTCTCTTTTCGTCCTCTCATTTCCGTAGACAACACCCCTGCCACGAAAAGACAGTGAGTAGGACTTCCCTGTCAGAGGCTGTATACGCGTAGCCGTGTGAGAGCACTTCGGGAGTGTTATTACACTACCTTACATTAATCTGGTCGTTAGTGTTCTTTTTTTTTTCTTTTACTCTCCTTACCTTCTTTTTTTCTCTCCCCATTCATTGTTTTGTGTAACGCATATATATTTGGTGCCCTCTTGTACCAATAATTATGTGTTCAAATAAATAATAAATACATAAACTAGTTAACTATAAAAAGGAGTAAAATAACGGTAAACTAACGGCATTTTTATGACAAATTAACCCTAGTGTGTTGAATTATTCCCCATAGTATAGGCAAGTTGTCACGTTTACTTGCTAGTAGTCAGGTGACTATTGTGAATTAAGGTTAGAATCCCGTGAGGTTTTCGTCACCAACTGATATCAACTACGAAGCAATGATGCTTTACCACCTCTTTGTTCACAAACCTAATAAACTCATTGCTGATATTGAGTCACGAGTAAGAATGGCAAAATACTATCTAGCCACATAAACACCACTATGCATATTATGAGCCAGGCACTGCCAGTTTTTACTTAGGTCATAGCAACATAAAATTTGTTCTTCACTGCACTTCTAGTGGCGCACTTTTAATACTGGTTGGTTTATTCAGCATGTTGTATTTTCACCTTCGATATTTTCCTTTCTTTTTTTGCCGCTCTTTGGGAACAAAACAGGAATAATTTGCATTCAATTGAAATCCTGTGAGAAACCCTTTGATCTTGGTTCCTTACTATTTAACACACCAACAAGGTGTATATGTGCGTTGTGTTTGTTGTTAACGTCTCGAACTGTGAGGCTGGGTGACGTGGATATGAGTCTCACAGAGAGCATCAACTCCTTCAATGTTACATGTGTGCCTTACGATTGTAGTGTTTCATTGCCGAAGTGAACCTGTTGTACCCTTGTATCGTAGATATGACATTGTATAAGTATGACGAGATTCTTACATCAGCGATTATGGTTAGTAGTGTAAATCACTATGGACTGATCCTATTTTGCTTGTTCATTATAGGCTTCATGATCAAACCCTCGTTACTCATGTAATGTACGGATGTTTAGATATACTTCTGTTCAATCAAACTACTGGTTACTGACAAGTGTACATACACTTATATACACTGCAACTCTGAGATACTGATGTCGGGTAATATGAATGACTTTCTTTATCAGAGATACTTTGATTGTAAGACGCGTCTATGTTTTTCTTTAGAGGAGTTGTATGATTTTTCGTCCTTGGTTTTCGATATTGATTAGAGTTTATCTTTCTTCTAGATAATGACTTCAAACCTTGCGTTCTTTGATTTAATGGACAACTTTCTGCCATCAGATAAGTGTTTACTAGTGAATGACTTAGGGTATACTTCTTACAGTACCAGGTACGAAAGTTGCTTTGTTTAACAACGATCCACAAAGTAGTGTTTCTTGTCCAAACTCATCTTGCCTTTGTGTCACTGAGGATCTACAGCTGATGGAGCAACATTATGCAACTTGTCATCATCATTCATGTTCACTTTGTGGTTTAAGTTTTATATCTTCAAGGCTTCTTTCGATACATGAACAAATTACACATTGTGGAGCTTTTAAACCAAAGGTAAATACGCAGACAGTGGTTTAGCCATTGGATTTCAGCTGGACTGTTTTCTCGTCGCATGCCCTCAAAAATTCTGTGACTCCGCCAAACTTTTCGCACATGCTTATGATTGCCATGGGCTTCTTCCTGACTCGTCAGTGCTCATAGGTACAATGATAAGTGTCAAAAATCGCAATTCTAATAAAATCGTAAGAACATTTTATAAAATCATTGTATTGAATACACTTAATAGCTTCTCTCTTAAGTTTTTCAGTCAACCGGTTTTTTCGTTTTGCAAAAATAAACTAAAATTTAATTAGCTACGTTAATAAAAACAGGTGCCTCTGTCCAGTGTTAGGTTAAACTTCCCGTAGGATTTGTCCCACTAGTTATTTAATGTAAATATTGCATGACGCTCAGACGAAAACGTGTGAGAGCTGTGAGTTACACTATAACACGAGTAAATAGAATATGAAAATGATACACTTCGTGCACCAGTACGAACAATTAAAACTGTCTAGTTCAAGAACTCGTATACTGGTCTGTTTTAACAAAACATGTCGGATTAGTGCGTAATAAGTAGTTTCAAAAGTTTATCCGTAAAAGGTATTATACATAGTTGACAGTTTTCGGTTTTCCAGGTGAGAATTCAACCAAATGGTTTATTTTTAGAACATATGAATTCTTATTGTCCATATTAATAAGAAAACAATTGTAAAAGTTCTTTGCATAATAATCATCATTTTGTAGACAGTAAATGGATTGATGAAATGCATTGAGAACATAAACAACCTTCCGGCAAAATAACTGCCAATAAAACTTTTTATAACTTAGTTGCATGGGTCCAACAGTACGTTTTGAGGGATTTCGCAGGTTGTGTTCCAACGACCTGATAATCGTCCATACAAATGCAATGTTGTATTGTGTGAATGCTGCTGTTTGCTGAACTACGTGTGAATGTTGTCCGCACTCAGTATTCCTTAGTTGTATGAGTGCTACATCGAGTTTTGGGCAATTTCGCAGGTTGCATTACAACGACCTGATAATCGTCCATACAAATGCAATGTTGTATTGTGTGAATGCTGCTGTTTGCTGAACTACGTGTGAATGTTGTCCGCACTCAGTATTCCTTAGTTGTATGAGTGCTACATCGAGTTTTGGGCAATTTCGCAGGTTGCATTACAACGACCTGATAATCGTCCATACAAATGCAATGTTGTATTGTGTGAATGCTGCTGTTTGCTGAACTACGTGTGAATGTTGTCCGCACTCAGTATTCCTTAGTTGTATGAGTGCTACATCGAGTTTTGGGCAATTTCGCAGGTTGCATTACAACGACCTGATAATCGTCCATACAAATGCAATGTTGTATTGTGTGAATGCTGCTGTTTGCTGAACTACGTGTGAATGTTGTCCGCACTCAGTATTCCTTAGTTGTATGAGTGCTACATCGAGTTTTGGACAATTTCGCAGGTTGCATTACAACGACCTGATAATCGTCCATACAAATGCAATGTTGTATTGTGTGAATGCTGCTGTTTGCTGAACTACGTGTGAATGTTGTCCGCACTCAGTATTCCTTAGTTGTATGAGTGCTACATCGAGTTTTGGGCAATTTCGCAGGTTGCATTACAACGACCTGACAATCGTCCATACAAATTCAACTTTTTTGTATGCTCTTTTATATATTCAATCATTGTATTTACTGAAATGATTAGCAGCTAAACGTAATATATTTTATAAAATGTATTGTCCTTGCTGCACTTATAGAGTAGTTTTTCTTCAAGTTATGTTCAACTATGGTAGTGTATTTACTTCTGTTTCTAGATGTCCGAGTTTGTTGTCCACCGTTGGGATGAATCCGTTGATGGCCAACTCACCCTAGAAAATATGCTAAAGAAGCTCAAATCGGAGGTATCGTCAATTATTTTGTATAATAATGTAGTTGCCAAATTTATTTGTTAACTGATTGCAGGGTTGTAGTTACATAAATTACAAGTTCAGTCCTGGCACCAATTTTCCGGAACATACCCACAACGAAGATAAATTGGACTGCATTGTTAGCGGCCAGCTTTCATTCACTATGTATGGAAAGGAAATTATATTAGGTCCTGGTGATCGTCTTGAAGTTCCTCGCAACATACCACATTCTGCTCGTGTTGTGGGCAAAGATCCTCTCGTATTTGTGGATGCTACACGAAAATCATAAAGTTTTTAAGACCTTATTTGTGGCTATTTTGATTTTATGGTTCTTTTTATGTCACATGAGTGCTGTCAATATAATCAAAATTATTGCGTACTTTTTTTCCGAAATAGTCCATGGGCATACTATACTCACTTCACGCTTTTGTGAATAATTAAGGAATCGAAGTTAGAAACTACAATTAGTAGTTCCAAGAGATAACTGATTAAAATCAGTAACCGGTATCTTTTGCAATATTGATATTATATTTCTAAGCCTTCTCCCTGGGAACTAAGATTAACTTCTTTTGGTTTTCCTGTGTTCCAAACAATATGACTATAATGTTAGGATATCATGGAAACATTGTTACAGTTAGCGAAGCCTAATTAATGGGTTCTTCACATTAATACACATATCTTTCGTCTATTCATTTGACTGATTTCACGTGTAAGATCTGGAATGTAATGGTAGAAGTGTAATTTATATTTGAAGATGGTCATTTGTATCAAGTTGATACATCTGGAAAGTTTTTAAGGTTCCTTCCCCATACCAGTAGTTAAGAAGTGTTTGAGATGGTGGGAGATATTCGTAGCTCAGGCTGTGGATTTCGAGCTTCACAACTAAACTATCCAACTCAGAGAACAAGATACCCTTAAAAAGCCAGAGGTATTTATTCATACTCCTATGATAACGGAGCATTGGCCTTGTAGTTGAAGTACCGTCGTAAGATCAAAGTTGTTTTCCCACATATTTTGATTTGGAAAATCAGGTTTTAGCACTAGCACTCATGGTGTGGCTTAAAGTCGAGTACATAAGTCTATACTTTGCAATTTATTTAGATTAAATAACTAAAATGACTCGTTATGATTTCCTGGTTACCCATTCTTGCTGTATGTTTTATTCCTCTTACTAATAACTTCATTCTGAGGATTTATGATGGACCTACCAGCTAAAGGGAATTTTCCGTCTGTTGCATTATCAAGTCCACTCCTGATTACTTCGTTGGTAGACTTCTATATTCTTTCGAACTTGACATTTTCCGCTTTGAGTTGTTTATAAAACTCATGACTTGAAGGGATAATGTTAATATTCCAGCTCTATCTACAACATTGGTGTTAGTTGAGTAGTGTCTTGCACCAGAAGCTGAGAGGGTGGTACATTTAGTCACTGTTGTCTACCCCTCTCATAGCTACAGAAATATGAACCGAAGTTGGGCATTTTTCTATGGCTCATTCGGTAAATCTGGAGTTCGGGAAATGAAGTGACTACTGTATAAAGAACTGGATAATTAAATGATGGAATTCATGATTATTTCAGGTAGTAATGGTTTAGCCTATTGACATTGGATTTAAGGAAATAGTAGTCGGGTTATTATTACCTATCTCAAACACCAACTGTCTTGCATAATCTATAGTACATGCTGAAGTAACTTCAGTTGTATGTCATGTAACTTCTCTCGACCTTTACATATAAACATGCGCAGTGATTCTCGTTGTTCTGTTTTTCAAATTATCCTTATACTCGCTACTTTTCTAGTGTTATCACGTGTACTTTATGGTAGACTTTGTAATGACAATGTAGACACTATTCATCAAAGACGTAGATATTGAATAAAAGACTCGATGTGTTTGGGACCAGTTGTTGTAGACACTAAGAATTATAATAAACATTCTAAGGGTCAAAAGGATACATCACTTGTCATTTTGCCGTATGCCGTTCTAAACACATTGTAGCTATATGTTCCATATTGACTGATTCCTGTTAACAGTTTCCTCTTCGATTTCTCTGTATTATTGGTAGATTTGATAATCTGAACCGAATTACTGTTGTGCAATATTCATTTTTCCGCTTCGTATGCAAAACATTATTTTAGGTATAGCATTCTTTTACGTATATAGGTTACGTAAAAGAAATTTGTTTAAATCATGTATTTAATATTTGTTGTCTCATCTATCCTGTTCCATCATGGCTCCTTTATTAGTTAAGTTCTTAAAGTGCATATGCATGGAGTTCCTTGTATTAGTCGAATCTTCCCCATAGTTCCCAGTCGTTCATATCAAATAAAACTTTCAAGACAGAAAAAAAGTGAATTTACATAGATTTTTGAGTTTATAGGTAAACACTACACTGTAAACATTACGGTATGTATAAATCAGACAGTAAATGTATCTATTATCTACAGAGTATATCACTACTTCAAATGAAATGTGCAACTGGTTTTAAGTGGTCGTTAATGTGTTCAAACTAATACTACAAATCATCTAAGTAGGCAGAAACTGTTCCTTTCCTGGTAATCAGTCAGTCGTAATCAACATGGAGACTCATAAATATGTATATCATAATGGGATGAGTTAACGATACCAGTCGTGAATCATCTGAAATAATTATAAAAATAATAGTGAGAAATAAGCGCTGGGAATATGTTTCCGAACAATAGAAATGTGCAAATCAAGGATTCTGAGTCGGTTGTGATCAAACGGATAGATGTTTTAAAGATTTAGTCCCAAGGATGACTTTCAGAGAACACTTAAATATCAATTGTGATATTGGTGTAAATTTAAACTACTCCCGAATTTCTAACTAACATTTACATCATTGTTTTTTTCATAATTATTTAATCTTATGGGTGCATTGTGAACTCTTCTTACAAAAAAGAACTATATAAGCCTTTGATTTAGGTAATGTGTCCATCCAGTTATAGATAACGTGCGAATCTAGTGAAATCCAAGTTAAACTGAAACTTTTAGACATTTTATTACTGTTAACCGCTTTGTGGTCGTAAACCACTAGAGAGAATTAATGGGCTTCACACTATACTGATACGTTTGCTGTCTAGGCTGCATTTAGTTTCAGAAAAAGTAAGTTGTACATGACCAGAGGTTCACTTTACACTAAGCACACAAGTATTTTTGCAGATACTTTAATAAATATAATTTAGATAATCTGAGTATATTTGGCATTTATTATATAAATTTATTGGCGATCCACCAATTCAGGTGCGAATTCTGTGCAAGAACTGTATGTCCAACTCGTTACCACATATCATTCATCCTTCCATAACCCTGATTCCCTTCTGTAGTATGTTTTGGTTTGGTTTTGTTCTCATTATTGTTTTGTAATTTTAAACCGTAATCACTTATTTTAAGCTCTTAACAATTTTTAATGATTATTATTCAGTTATGATTATGACTTTTACATTTTTTCATCCTTCATATATCTGTCAAGCTGACAATTATCCTTCAAAATTCTGACCTGTAAATCATTTTCATCCTCCGTTATAATATTTTTCTAATAGTATTGATGGATAGGCACTTATCTTGTTAGACTATAACTTTACTCAGTATCTATTGATCTTATTCTGTTATCAAACAAATTCTCGTCTAATTAAAAAATCTATTTTCTTAAGAATGTAAGTTTGTTGGTCTCACTGTTGAAACTTGTGAGTCTTTGTGTAATCTGCAATAAAATTCATATCATGTGTTTTGACTATCATTGCCCTACGATTTATTCTTGTGTCATTATATTCCGTTATCAATCATTGTATAGGTATATCCTTACTTAGACTAACCTTCACATATCATCGGGGTAGTCATATTAATACTACATTTGAATTAGTTCCTATTTCAAAATAGTTGTGAAGTTACATTTGGATCGTCAGCACTAAACATTTCAATATTGTCATCAGTTATTTGGTATACATCATTAGGAAAAAAGAATATTTAATTCTACTTATTGATTGGATGACTTTTACTTCATTGTAAAGAAAATATTACAATATTCTCTAATTCGCCTTTTCCTTTAAAGTCTCCCTGTAGCTCTCCTATGGTTACTATCGCTCCCAAGCCCGAGTAAAGAAGGACTGTTGAGCACGGGGTCAGCAACCCTATCTCGTAGAAAATAACCTTGTTGAAAAACACTAACCAAAATAGACAATTCAAACTCTTCCGTCCGACTTGAATCTTCGTCCAGAAAAATTATAGCACATGATAAAAACCAAGATTGTTCGGAAGCCATGAGTCCGGTTTTCCCTCTAACAACTAGATCAACAATTAATGTAGGTACATGAAATGTCCGAACAATGTGAGAGACCGAGTGAACCAGTCAAATAGCTACAGAAATGAGGAGATACAACGTGGTGGTGCTCGGAATCAGTGAGACACATTGGACCCAAACTGGACAGAAAAGGTCAGATTCGAGAGAGGTTCACTTATACTCTGGTTACGAAGAAGAAAATGATCTACACTCAGGGAGTTGCTCTGATGCTGTCCAAAGAAGTACAAAACTCACTTATAGGATGATAATCTCATAGATCCGGAATCATCAAAGTATCCTTCAAGACAAAGAAGAAGGGGATCACAATGAATGTTATTCACCCACCGATAATAGCAACGAAGACGTTAAATACCAGTTTTACGAGAAGCTACAATTGATCTTAGTGAAGTGCTCAGGAACCTGACCGGAGACCTAAACGTGAAAGTCGAAGTAGACAATACTGAGTATGCAGACATCACGGGACGCTATGAACTGACAGGGAGAAAGTGATGGGAATGGTGACAGATTTGCAAATTTATGTGCATTCAACAAAACGGTTGTAGGAGGCACTATATTACCCCGAAAATGCATACAAAAAGCTACATGAGTCTCACCGGATCACACTACAAAGAACCAGATCGGTCACATTCGTACCACTAAGATATTCAGGTCAATGGGAGATGTGAGAACCAGGAGAGGAGCTGTCATAGCTTCAGATCACCACCACCCGGTTATGGCCAAAATGAAACGAGCTGAACGAACATTGAAAAACTGAAGAAATAGCATTACAGGAGTTTAATACAACCTTCCTTCGAGATGCTGACAAACTCAAAGAATTCAGGATAACTTTAGACATCAGGTTCCAAAATTTACAGGACCTACTGAAAGAAGAAGCTACCATGGAGGACAACTAGGAAGGGATTAAAAAAGCATTGACTTCAAAGTTTCAGGAGGTGCCGGGCCGCAAGAAGCACCATCATAAGGAATGGTTTCCTATTCATACTCTGGACAGAATTCAAGAAAGGAAGAACAAGAGGACAGAAATTTTCAACAGCCAAATAAGAGCAGAGAAAGACACAAACCGAATACACAGAGGCAGACAAGCAAGTGAAGAGGAGTATTAGAGCTGACAAGCAGAAATATGTGGAAGATCTAGTAGTTGACTGGATTACGAAGACCTCGACATCTGAGGGGAAGCACGGACTACATTTGGCAGCTTGAATGCAACTAGATGATTTAGACTTCTCCAACCACCTAGTTCTATCTCATACACATAAATAAATGCAGGTCAAGACAAACAGTGTAGCAGCAGACTCTGCATCAACAAGCCTCAACATACACAAAAGAAAAGCAACATCCTCAAATGCAACACAGAGGACACCAACCCGTCACACTGGAACAAGTGGAAACTTTCACAGACCTGGTCAGCATCATCGGTGAACAAGAAGGATCGGATGCAGACGTAAAGACAAGGACTGTCAAAGTAAGAGTAGCATTCCTACAGTTGAAGAACATATGGAACTCAAAACCATTGTCTGCAAGTCAACATAAAAGTGAGAATCTTCAATACGGACGTCAAGACAGTCCCACTGTGCGTAGCGGAAACGTGAACAACCACTACAACCATCATCGAAACAGTACAAGTATTTATAAACGATTGTCTACATAAGATACCCAGTGTCCGTTGTCCGGATAAATTACTGTGGGAGAGAACAATTTAGCCTCCGGTTCAAGAGGAAGTGGGTTGGACATACATTGTGGAAATCGCCAAGCTGCATCACGAGGAAAGCGCTAACCCGGGATCCTGAAGAGTAACGGAAAAGAGGTAGATCGAAGTACTCATTGCGTCGGGAATTGGAGGCAGACATGAAAAGTATCAGTAGCAACTGAAAACACCCGGAGAGAATTGTCCATGACAGGGATAGATGGAGAATGCTGGTGAGCAGCCTATGCTTCTCCACGTCGAGTAGCAGGCGTAAGTAAGTTTTCCTTTATCATAATCTAATTAATAGTTTACTGTCGAACTGTTCTGGTGAACATGATTGTCATTTGTGTTGCTGTAAATTGTTGAGAATCCTTAACTATCTATTGGTATAATCATAACACTAATCACTATCAGAGTGAAATATCATAAATTTATTCAAAGCAAAGAAAACATAATGGCAGAAGTATACATGTATGTGTGTTCAGTAAAAGTAATTGTAATTTGTACAGAAAAATTCAAATAAGTAAGAAACAATAAGGAAATCAACCTAATTAATAAGTAATATATGCCATCATATTAAGTTTTATTATGATTACTTTTTCTTGCATTTTATGCATGAAAAGAAGCAAAACAAAAAATAAATGGGGAATAGAGCATGTTAAAAAAAAGAAGAAAAAAAACACTTATTGTTTATATCTCAATATAAAATGGATTTTAAGATGTAAGGCGACTCATTATGTACAAAATGTCTCAATAAATGTATTAAGTTAACATTGAATATTATTTTATCCTATTTTATTCAGAAAATCAAAAACAAAAGAAACATGAGAATAGGTAAACAGTTGTATAAAGATTCTTTAAATAACTATTAATTTATAATCAAATAGGCGATATGAATAATAAAAGGGAATAGTAACAATAGTTATTGTTAGTTTTGTAATATTGATAAAAAGAAATTGGAAACTTACAATAAAAGCAATAGATCATTAAACACAATTGTCAATATATATGTTGTTTTTTTCTAATAGATTGATCACCGGCTAATTAATAAACAATTTCTAGTTCTGTTTATATTTTCTTTTATGCCATACATCATTCAACCATTGTTAAGAATATTCTATCATCATTGAAATATATTTCCGGTATAGAAGATAAACACTTATTATATTTTACACAAATCAAACCATTCAATTCTTGTTTAACATTGTTCAAGTTAACACTCAAGTGTATGTTTGTTTGTTTGTTTTTATCATAGAAAAATTCAACAAAATAACATGATCAGATAAACGATTTTATTAAATGTTTGAATTAAAAAAGATGTTGGATATTTGACAAATGAACAAGTTAGCACACAATATACAGAGATAAAACCATGAAACATATCAATAACATGTAACAAGTATATATTTGATTACACACACATACACACAAACGAAAAGTAAGAATGGGTATTTTATATTGACAAAGTTTTGTTTAATTTCATGCCTTGACTCTCTATGTACTATTGTTTCATTGTGATATTCTTTTTGTTTGAAATGCATTCAATTGTCAATAGAAAAAATGTTTAATAGTTCACTGGTTTGAAATAATATTAAAATTAAATAGCAAATAGATGATTTGTTATAGTTTGTTATTGTTATTGTTGTTACATAATAATGAAATATGATTAAACTGTAAAAAGTATTAAAAAAGATCTTATAATTCAACAATGTATTTTATCCTTTCATCCTGTAAATTAATTATAATGTTTGACTTAGGGTAAAGTAAATTAATGAAAGGCTATGATTATTTTGACTTAGATTAAAAGTACTATTCTAGTAAAACTAATTAAATATCTTCTTTATTCAATGATAATCTATTTATATTAGGAATAAAGAATTGTAATTAGTTTTCTATTTGGAAATTTTCTTTGGATTTCATTGATTTTGTTTTATCTTTATATTCTTCATTTGAATGATTGATAGATTTTTTCGATTTTATTATTCCAGTGTGTTGTTGAATTAAGGCGACAAGATCTGAACGATTAAGTTTTTGTAAAGAATTCATTAGTTGACCTAAATTCACTGTATTTTGTAGACACATATATTGAAACATTGAAACGGTCATTGTTAAGTTATTTTTAGGATTGTTATTAGTGATTGATTGAATTGTATTAGAGTTATCTTGATTACATAGTTTTAAATGTGATTCAACAGTATTTTGAGCTTCCATAGCAGCTGATAATAAGTCTGATGTTACCTCTGGGGGTAATTGATCAAATTTGCTTGTTTCTAAATCTAAGATGGGTGAAGGTAAGAATAATATCAATAAAAATAATAATAAACCAAATTGCAAAAGGTTTGTTGTGTTTGTACATAAACAAGATATACTTCACCTATCTTATGAATCACATTAATCCCCGTAGGTTGGGGCCTAAATAATTCGGGAATTTCTAAAGGCTTTTACCAATTTGCGACACTTGTAGGATAGCTAAGATAATTGTCTGTCAGTTAAAAAAAAGAGTTTGACCGCAATATGCTATTGTGTCGTGATGTGATGATCGAGGATATGGCAGACGAAAACTTCCTGTTATTATTTATTTTACAAGTTAAATTGATGTTGTAATCTATGCAAACAATAATGAAGATGATTTATGGGTGTGAAACATGAACTTTGATAGTAGAGGATATTCACAGGTTACTAGCATTCAGTCATAGGTGACCTCAATCCATCGATCGTGTATTTGGGGATCATCAGGCTAATCATTTTGAAATTAGACACAGAATACTAGGGAAGGATGGAAAATCTGGCCGATGAGGTAGTGAATCTTTATCGGTTGAGATGCTTAGAACATGTTTAACAGATTCCCATCTACCGACAACGTGGACATGTGGTGATGGGTGTTGTAGGAGTAGGTTGGTTGGAAGTGAACCAGGGTGAACAGATCAATACACGACATCAGTCTGTAAGCATACTGACTATTGTAGTGAGCTGTGTGTGTGTTTGTGCAAATAGACTACATGGTTGTGGTCGATGTGATCATCATAACTAGTGATTAGAGACTCTGAGTGAAATGGCTCAAAATCGTTTGGAGTGGTTCAGGTTCATCCACTCATTTTATTCTCTTAGATCCTAAGTGTACAGATGTTTTTATTATACTAATTTGTATTTTTGTTGTTAAATGTTATCTCGTATGTCGAATCGTTTGTACTACCATGAACTCTCTTACTATTGTGTGATTTGCACTGACAATTTGATCTTATCGTTCTAATGGGTTGTGTGAACTTGAACCGATGTACACATGTACCAGGTTCTGCGTTAAATGTAACTGGCCAACTGACCTTGTATAGCTTTAAGTATATTCATTTTGAATTGTTTTATATTTTTGATTTTTTTGCTGATTTTATTCATTACTTCACCCTTTTCTCTTGAACTATGTTTTATACGTTTGGTTTCCAACAAATCTTTACTTTATATCCATTAATTCTTTTTATATCATTGTGCTATTATGAAATCTATCTACTTGTTTCTGCTGGTCGGTAGGATGTATTTTACAATTTTTTTTAAATGCATATCATGAGGAATATTCGAAGTATGCTTTTTATTCATATTCACGTTTATGCGTGATTTGGTCCTTTTTTTTAATAAGAAATATATCTATATACATAAAATTATTATTTTGAAAAAATTATAATGAAATCTAATACTACTTACCCATTATATTAGCCAGTTCCTGCCATCCGTGTTGAGATAAACGATAACAAATAACTCCTAGTATATTCATTGGAATTACTGATATTGGTTTTTGTTCAAAATTACCTAAAATATGCATATAAATAAATGTAAATAATAAATAATCATTTAGCATGAGAGCGATCAAGAGGGAAATAGAAATAAACAGAAATTTCTTGGTCCTATTCAACTAGATACTAGTTACACAAATAAATAATCCTAGTGTTTCATGTATGTAAGAATTTCATTTGAAAATGTTGGGATTTGATCAACCTACTATAGAGTGTTTCAAAAAACAAGCCTATCTCACAAGTTTCATTCAAGTTTTATAAGATATCCAATTAATAATTAAGAATCGTTAAATTGAATGAAGCTTAATTTATGACATTACATTACATTCTTTTTTTAGATGGAAAAAGAAACTGTCCAAAAAAAATTGAGTATAGTGTAACAAGATTGTAAAATATCCCCTCCTCACTTCAAATATAGTGTGTTTTTTTGTATGCAAAACTAATGGTAGAAGTGATTAACACATCTAGACTATATTTAAAACGACAAGAAAGTTTTCCGTTTGATTGAAGAAATTCGAAAATAAACAAATGAATAAAAGTGATATTCAACGAAGTTGGTGGTATTTTAATTTAAATTAAAAGATAATAATATTGTAAGTTTCTTGACTTTCATAAGTTTAGCCGAATTCTATGTCAAGGATAATGATACTAGTCGGGTGTCTAGACTGAATTTAGTTAAAGTGTGGTTGAACAAAGTGACTTACTGGTTGAAGGACAAATATATCGACCACTAAGGCATCACTTTACACAATGGAAAAGTCTAAGGAGGTAGATTTATTTTTTTTATTCCCGTGCATACAACTGCTACCAATAAAAGACTTTTCTAATTTTTAGTATGGTAATACAAAAGGTTATAGTTATTATGAATTAAAACACACTAGCGTTCATACAAAAAGGGTATTTGGATAATCTTTTATTTTCTTATAAAGAGATGGACTTGTGGAAATTTTTGAATGTTCACAGCTTAAATAACAAGTTAACCTTAGCTAAAACACTGCTGAAAACTCGTAATGACTGGATGACCGTTTCGTCCTAGCATAGAACCCCTCAGCAGTGCACATCCACGAACTCTCCACCGAATTTCGAACCTAGAACCTCCGGTCTCACTCATTAACGCTTGACACATAGACCCGTGTGCCGGTATCCAACGTTGTTAATACCTAACTTCAGTTGATTCGCAATTTTGTGCGACGTTCATCTATTGCCTTCTGTGGATAGCCGTTACACACCAAACATGCTTGGACCCCACTAGTCATAGCTTTTCAGAATAACTCCAGGAGTTTCATCTTCAAGCTAATAACTTGCTCACAAGTGATTATTGTTAGTTTAGGGGGACTTTTGAAGATTTTAGAATTTGGACAGTTTCAATCCCGAGTTGAACTGAGGAGTCCTATAATAGAACGAAAAGACCGACTATTGCTCCCAAATTTTCAGTGGTGGTTTAGTTAAGATCATTGCATTATTGAAACTATGAAAATTCTATAGTCTTCAGAAATCTCCCCAAAATAATATAGTTTATTGTTGATTCCAGAAAATATAGATAAATAGGATAAAAATTTTTAAAAACTACTGAGGAATAATAACTTACTAAATGAGCTGTTTGAATGATCTAATTTCCCAAGTAATGGTGCTTTTTCATGACCAACAATAATATCATTAAATTGAAGATGATTATTAATATCGTTATCGGGTGTTGAATTAATAGTGTTATTAAGTTCAGTTGTAGACTGAGGTGAATGATTTGGTAAATGAGCATTATTATTATTATTTATGAAACCTGATGAGATTCTTCGATGTTGTAAATGATTATTATCCAAACAAGATGTTCTATCTAATAAATCAGTTTTGTTACTATTGTACGAATCAGTTAATTTGGCATTTTTTGACGCTTCTCTTTGTCGCCATAATTTGTATACAACATAACATAATAATGAAATAATTATTAAACCCATGATGGAACAATAAATTGGCAACATTTGATTAGATTTGTTATTATTGTCTGATATATCCGATTCTTGGTCGTATGCTGAATAGTCTATTATGTGAAAACATAAATGAATGAATTAATTAAGTAACATAAATTCTAGAATATTCAATGATAAGACATCGATACCATAAATGTATTGTTACTATCAAAAATCTACGTGATTCATATAAAAAAATAACTATGAAGGTAATAATTATTGTAAGACAGGTAGAATCTTTCCTCTTTACTGATCTTTATTACGATTGGTAACAATCTCTTTTCATAAGTAGTAATTTATCATGAAGCGGGGAAAGCAAGTATCTCATCTATTTTAATAGATTTTCAGTGAAAATTTCAAAGGGTAATCATCGTTGTAATGTATGTGGAAAATTATATAACTTGAGATTAACTTCCTTTTTAGATTCTTTAGAGAGTTACGTTTTCCTGACGGTCACTTAATATCATAATTTTAATCATTCTGTTTCCATGTAAACAGACTAAATCGTTTAAGGACATATATAATTAACTTTTAAGTAAATAGTTGTCTTTGAAACTATTTTTCTGTTGTATTTATTTGTATTCCATCAATTGTTCATTCTAATCGATTCATCTTAATAATATTATAAAGATAAGGATACTGTGATGTTTATTTAATTTGGAAGTACATTTCGTGGTAGAATCAACGGAGCAATGAATAGTGGAATTCACCTATTTTTTAAGTAAAACACTCATTACTGATGTTATCGGGTGTTCTCCATGTGGCTGAAGTTACAAATGTGAATATCGTTTAAAGAGTAGCATACTAGGGTGTATCTCAAGTCCATTGTTTACCAATTTTCAATGAATGCCCAATTATTACCTGTTCTTAATGCAAATCAATTCAATAATATTACTTTCATCTAGCCTGATAGTTCGCTTGGTAAAGTATCATTTATCAATAGCAGTTACATCAACTTTAAAAAAGAAATTTTATTTGTTCAATACATTTAAAATGTCACATATTTCTTTCATATTTTCGAACGAGGTCTTTGCACATTGTTTAAATTCTTGGTAGAAATATTTGTAGTGATTGAAAAAGATAAGATATCATATTAGTTGTTATAATACTTTCATTGACTGATTAGGTTTAAAGAAAAGGATCGAAAATATTGTATAAGTGCGAAATCAACCATTTACCATGAAATGATTATGCATACAATGTTAATAACAATAAAATGGGCATAAAATAATAGTAATCTCTTTCAATATAGTGTACACACAAATGTCGAAAGATGTTTCTTCTGTGTATTGGTTTTGGTGAGTGAATTTTCGTTTACACTCGTTAATGATTTGACTGCATAGTTTATGGCATGAATAAACCCTTACATAGATACATTTAATAAGTAATAATCTGTATCTTTAAAATCGCAGATACATTGTACTCTTCAATATTATCGAAGAATCCAAGTTCAAAGTAGTTTTCTATTCATTGAAATCATTCACCGATCTAATTTAAACCACCACTGAAAACCTGGAGGTATTGGACAGCTTTAATGGTAATCTGATAATGATCGATTTATTATTTTTTATTGTAACCTTTATCAATAGAGTTCAACGACAATAAACAATCAAGCAAAATGAGATTGATTTATTATTAAATGGTTGATAAGTGTGAGAATATTCTAACATTTACTCTTAACAAATAAGACGATTACTCATGGATATCACAATAAATTATCATCAAGATAATAGTCATTTATCAAAAGACAATATAACTATTTACTAATATACATTTATTTACAGGTAACTTGATTGTGAATAAATTAGTAATGATGAGAGAAAAGAAAATGTTTTGTTTTACTAAAGAAGATAATAATAAACCATAAAACAAGAATAACAAATGTTTATATTTCAATGGCGTGATACAATTTATTCATTGAGTTTTTACTCCTTTTATAAATTACTACAAAACAACATCTAACAAGCATATAATATATATATGCTGTGTAAACGAATAGAGAAGAGAATAAAACCTAAACAAGATAAAGAGAGAGAAGTCAATATAATTCAGTAAAGAATTAATCATTTCTTTGTGTTTGTGAAAAACATTATTCTTCATACCGGATATTATTTTGTTGTGTTTTTTTTAATTTAATGAAAATAAGCAATGAATGAAATAATGAAGATGATAATAATAATAACAAACAAAATAGGTAAACAAAGCACCAATGACAAACAACTGAGTGAATTAAAATTTATAAACTTTTATATAAAAATTAAAGAAAAAAACGAAACGAATGAGTCAATTTACATATAGATAGTTTACACTAGACCTATGCATAAGTCATAGTTCATAGTCCAATATTAACTTGTGTGTGCAACGATTCAATTGCTGGGTTGGTTTACTTTATTATATTTCATTTTGATAGACAGTAAAGAGGTTAAAGGTTAAATTTAAAAGACATGTATAAACAACTACATATAGTGGAATATAAGAATTGATTATTAATAATATCTGTATCTCTTATAATATGAAAGACTGCATAAAAATGTAAAAGAAGTTTATATATGATTGGTACGAAAATAGCGATGACTGTTTTCTTTTGAGAAAATAAACACAAATTTTCAAGTCAGTAAACTATTTACACAGATGACGTTATGGAGACCTAAAGTACAAAGTATACAACCCTTTGTACTGTAGCTATATTTTGGGTGAATAAAAACATTTATGAATATAATGGTGACAGTTATATCACCAACTGGGTAATCATTGATAAACAAATGGAATTGAATAACTTCTTTGTTATAGTTTTGTACTCCTCAATGGTAGGAACTTGTGATTTTACATTGGATTAGATTCATAAACTGTAGGTTTTATGATGAACATCAAATCACTAGACTACTGAGTTAAAATTTAATAGTTAGAAACTATCACCATTGGATGCCGGCTCAGTGGTCCAGTTGGTTAAACGTTCGCATGCGAGGCCGAAGGCCCTGGGTTCGAGTCCCGCGAGCAGGATCGTGGATGCGCACTGCTGAGGAGGCCCACAATAGGACGAGACGACCGTCCAGTGCTTCCAGGTTTTCAATTGTGGTGGTCTAACATCAATCGGTTCATGATCTCAATCAAAAACTTAATAGTTTATATATTTTTAATCTCAGTTATAACATAGCACAGGTGGATAATTATTCGATACCTCAAATCTATCGTAGTGGAACATCACCAGTCATGATTTTTTTATTGTATTGAATTGATTCACTGATTAGTTAACTAAAACATCAAAATATGTTCTATTAGCTGTTCATTTGTTACCTGTTATCCGTTCATAATAATTAATTTATCATTTCAATGTTTAATCTTCACCTAACCATCTTATATTACATGAGATATATCAATCTTACAAACATTAAACGAAATATATTATACTTCTCTGTTATATCACTTTCTATCCCTTAATGAATTATTATCATAAATAATGAACTCAAATTCATCTTTTATCGTTTACTTACTTACTACTTACTTTACTTTTATCGTTTAGAAAACATAATTAGTTACATTAAGATTGATTATTTAATTCAAATTTTTCATGTGTGTTTTAAGTTAGTGACTAATCAGTTTTTTATTTTGTTTTTCTTTTATTATTATTGTTATAATAAGTGATTTTAGCCTTTTTAAAGTTATTAAATTGAAATTCATCAATGTGAATTTCAAAATGATATTTATCTAATAATTTATCTGAAATAAAACAAACAAACGAAATGCTTAAAAGTAGTAACATATAAAATAGATAAACTAATATGTATATATGTAATTCTCATCTTATTTGAATTGAGTCTTGTTATTTTAACACTAATATATATCTCAAATTATTTTTGTTAATAAACGGTGTTGTTTTTTGTGTGTTTTTTTTGAACTATTTCAAAGACTAAGTTCTTTGTAGATTCAATAAGCTTTTCAGTTTTATTTGTGTCTATGTTAAGTTTTTTTTTGTAGATCGTAAAATAACCTATAAATTGTTTGTTTTTGAAAAAAAAACACTGAAAATATATGAACATACTTATCAAATAGGATATCTGAAATAACTAACGATAATAATATATGTGTCCTCCTTAATGGAGAGGTTTTTTTGTTTAGAGTTACAGTTGAATGTGTAGTGACTGAGTCGTAGTAGGGGTAGGCACTTTATATCACTGTATATGTGTATGAGAAAATAAGCATTAAGTGTAGAATATCCTAGTTCAGTCATTATAAAAGGTAAACATTTTAGTGTGATATGAATTTATTTTAGTATTACTAAAGTGACTTGTAGATTATGTACAATTTGATTATTGTAAATACAATAAAATAGTTATTATTATGATTGTGTTGTATAACAGGATGTAATTTTCGTCGAAGATTTCATTTTAAACAGTAACTTTTATTATTTTGTTTTTTATTCAGTATGCTAGATTACACTACATTGGATATGTTCAGAATAGAAATTTGTAAATAAAATCAACTTGTAATCGCGCATAAAAATATAAATAAAACATTATTTCATTAGGTTCAACCTCTGAAGAGATAATAAGTGTATAGTGTTCAGAAATTCCAAATTATAATGAAAGCCATGTAATATTTATTATCTATAATTAGGTTTTCTGATGATATTTGTTCACGACGAAAATCATCTTCAACCCAGAAACTGTACTTTTGAAGGAGTACATATTTACAATATGTACGCTATAGTACTTTTTTGACTGTGATATAATATTCCTAGGGATAATAATAATATCCTTATCACGAAAATACACTGATAGATAGAAAATAGTATTATAGACCTTATATATATGTCCATTTAGACCTACTTATCTGTTTAAACAATTATCTATATATTACATGAACTATAATATAGAGTTAAATTGACTTCATTATCTTTCATATGTTGATTAGTGAATCACAAGGAGATAGCCAGGGCTATATATGTCCAGTTACAAGAGACAAATAGACTGTTATATATATATACATGGTAAGTGGTGATAATAACTGAACTAACAAATGCATTGTATACATACTGAAGAATCGGTATAATCAAAGTTTATTATCTATACAT